TCACCAACATTACGCTTGTAAAATGCAGAATATTCATCAGTAGAATTAAGGTTTAAACAGTTTAGTTTTTCATGAAATAAATTGTTATCATCGCCATCTGCGTGCATGACAACTGTCACAGTGCCTGCTGCCAGTCCCGACCTATGACTATTGTTGTGTGCTATTGTTAACATTGGAGAGAAAAATAAATAAAGAATGCATAATTTACATAAACATAAAATTACAATCAATGGCTAATAAGTAAATGATTGTTTATCTTAACTAGCAGAATTTTATAAATACATAAATGAAAAGGTAGCCTATATGAATAATAAATATTTCTTTAAATAAAATATAAAATATTTAGGTTAGCATCAACTAGCAAATTTTATTATATCTCTAGTAAAAATACGAATACTGTAATAGTATTGAGAATTTCACTTAAATGAATAAATATGCTGTCCAACATAACTAGCAATTTTTATATAATACTAATAATAAGAAATAAAAATAAAACTATTGATATTTTTCTAGACGTGAAATAAATATTTTGGTTTGTGTTCGCTAGCAATAAAAATACAAACCTAATATAAAAATAATAAGAATTAGTGCATTTTTTTCTGAAATAAATAAAAATTGCTTAAGTATATACGAAATAGATTTAGCTAGCAAATATTATAATAAAATAAATAATAAATTAAATGGACCATTATTCCTTTGTGTATTGAGTCATGCAACAATAATCATGCAATTTAAGGGTAATGGAGAACAGAGTGATGCGGTAATAGATTATCGTGGTATTAGACTGAATAAAATAAATAAATAGCTATATAAAAAATATAATAAAATAGATGGATAAAAGTCAATTACATGCATAAATACCTAATTTAAGTTTCTACGAATACCTAAGATACATTATTTGTCGAAGACGTCCAGTTCATGCTGTGCAGTGATCCTGATGGCATCGTCGTGTTCCTTGGGTTTGATGAGTATTTTCCCATTGGTGTAGCCGGCCTTGTGGATCTTCCCCTCACGCTGCATCCTTCTAGCTCGACCCAGGAGAGTTTTATTATGTATGGTCAGATGATCGTTGATGTAGACATCACTTGGCACAAGACGTCCGTTGATATCTGTAGCATTTAGATTTTTCTTTTTTCTCGCAGCGATGAGCCACATCTCTTTGGTGCTCCTAGAAACAAACTGCGCAATGATAGGCGCGAACGTGTGATTTTTAGAGTACTGGCGCAGTCGATGGGCGATGGAAACATCCTCTCTCTTGAAGTTGACTCCAAGGGCAGCGGCAATGTGTTGCAGAATGTCGTATACATTTTCGTTTGTAGTCGTAGGTATACCCAGGACCTCGATGTTGGCGCAGCGTGAATGCTGGTCAGCGTCGTTCTGACTAAGCTGCAGCGCGCGGACCTGCTCGACAAGCATGTCGTTTGCTTTTTCCAACTCACTGCAGCGTTCCTGTAAAGCTGACTGGTTTAGCTCCAAAGAAGAGACTTTGTTGTTAAATGTGTGTAGTTCTGTAGTTAAATTGTCAATTTTAGACATCACACCTCCTACAACAGAGTCGGTGTGCATTTGGATTTCTGTTTTAAATGAGTTTAGTATTTCTATCATAGTGTTTTTATCCAAAGCTGAACTCACGCTTGTCTGTAGGGAAGCAGATGAACCTGACGCAGATGTACACTTTTCACACTTCCACTGTTTAATTTTAGACTTTGTAAAGTTTTGATGTGATCCAAACTGCGTGCACGCTGGATGATATCCCGTCTTGCACTCAACACATTTCACTGACAAGTCACTCTGCACAACGTCACCTCCACACTGTCCACACGTAGACACCATAATAGTTTATAAATAACAACAATGAGGTTCAATCACGCATAAACCACTGGACGGATAGGGCTGAAAATTGGCATAATATAGGTCACATTCCCGATCAACATATAGGCATATTCTTATCTCATAAATCCTTTCGGGCTCCGCCCCAGTGGCTCTGTAGTTTCCCATGTTAACCTTATGAGTATTCATATTTAAAGAGAATTAAAGCATATAGTAAGCTGTTTCAACTAAAAAGGTTGGTTCTATGATATGGAAAAGCATTAAAAAGTTATCAGATTTACCAACAGGGTTCAGCACTATAGGGTTCAGCACTATATTTTTTTGGTTTTATAAAAACAGCTAATTTGAGCTAAGCAGTAACAAAAAACTGTGATTCGCAATGAGAACTGTCAAAGTAGGCTTGTTTACAGTTATGTTAATGTTTTTCATTTTATGAATAATTTGTGATATTTTGCGAATTGTTGATAATTTATTATTCTCTATTGTTTAGGTGAAGTGGTAGAACATTATGGCTATGGTAGATGTGTAGTAGAATACCGGTACTGTAAATCTAAAAAAGCAAATTTTATCAAACTGTGTCCTCCCTTATTGCAAACGCAAAGCTTGAGTATAACTGCAATAAGCATTTTATACTTAACTAGCTGTAACCCGCGGGCTTTGCCAGATGATCTCGTTCGCATGGATCAATCACGTCCTGGTTGAAGTTCGTTCGCTACGCTCACTCACCTTTAGGTTGGAGCTCGTTCGCTACGCTCACTCACCTTTAGGTTGGAGCTCGTTCGCTGCGCTCACTTGCCTTCAGGTTAGCTCATTCACTACGCTAACTCGCCTCCAGGTTGAAGTTTGTTCGCTACCCTCACTCACCTTTTGGTTGCAAATTAGCTGATGTCATAAATGTAAAAGAAATAATAGTGTTGCACCCTGTTGGTAATCCTTGTAACTTTAATGCCATTGAACATCATAGAACAGAACCAACTTGTTTAATTGAAAAAGCTGTTAAGATTCATTAATTACTTTTAAATATGAAAGATCACAAGGTTAACATGGGAAACTCCAGAGCCACTGGGGCGGAGCCCGAAAGCCCGATCAGAATAAAAACTACTTAGTTTTCCTATTTAATGCCCAAAGAATCGGTGTACCGAATTTCAGCCTCCTAGGTAAATGGGAAGTGGCAGAATTAGTGATGAGTCAGCGAGGGCTTTGCCTTTTTTTATATATTTAGATACATTTTCTGGTATGTTTAGGGCTACTAATATAATAAAAATTAAAAACATAGTTAACAAAGTACCCTTAATCAAATGAAATCGGTCAAAATAAAAATGATTATTTAAAAAGGCCACTTTGTTAAGCCCCCCATACATGGAAAAGCATGTTGGCGAACATGCTCGGCGTTGTCAACAGACGGACGAGCATGCTCGCGAACTTGCTGATCGCTCGGTAGCGGTTCTTAACCCTATTCTTGCTTCTCTTGTGCGCTGTGACCATGTGTTATGTACTTCGATGGCTGTGACAGTCAAGTTGTGTGTATTTATTTATTTAATATTTAATTAGTTTATTTGGATTAAATTTAAATGGATGCCAAATGCTGTTGTGGCTATTTGCGGTGGTGCAGTTTGATTTGAAGAGGATAGCAAAAGTAAGCCACAAAAAATATGGTGTAAAAATTGGCTCAAAAATAGAAGACGGTTCAGCCATATGTCCCTTCTAAGAGAACTATTAAAATTCCATCGCTGTGCAAAAATATATCTCGTAGTTTTGCTTATTTTAGCCTTCTTTAGAATTATTTAATTGTGACAAATTGCTACACAGAATTGATTGTACACATTTTTGTAATAATATACAAATTTTAATTGATGAACCCTCTATTTTGGAACAAACACAAATAAATATTTATTTAGCTTCTGTAAACATTGATTCTAAATCTATTACTGTAACTGGAATACATCAAGAGTATCAACACCATGATGATTACAAGTGCAATCTGTCTATTGCGGCTACTTTAATGGCGGTAACGAAGTAATCTTTTTGAATCGGAACGGTTACTTTGTAATGAGTCCACGAGTGTAACTGGAATCATGGTTAGCGGCTACATTGATGGAATCATTTAGCCTATCTCTATCCACTGTGGGTGAGTTGCAGCGGCGAACATGCTCTCAAACATATTGGTCGTCCCCACAGACGGGCGAGCATGTTCGTGTGTCGGGCTCAACAGGTCCGACGAGCCGAGAGCCGAGCCCAGCATGCTCGCTGCGATGGATCCCACACACATCCAACCTTGGATCCCACACACGGGCGAGCATGTTCCTCACCAACACCGTCACAAGCATGCTCGCGAACATGCTTGCCCGTGTATGGGGGGCTTTAACTATGTTTTTAATTTTGTATAAATATTAAATATTATAAATATTAGCCTATATATATATATATATATATGTATGAATTTGAACGTATGGTGTTTTTGGTTTCTAGGGACCTCAAAACGAAAAAGCATATCGGTTCAGGGTCCAGGTCTTATCATGAGTACTACGGTAGTAGCTTATTCCCTATATGGGAAATTCGCTAAAAAGCGATCAATGGGGTCATGATTAATTACCGCTTTGCATGGCTTCTGGGTGGGATCCTTTGGATACGCCCTGATACTTAGGCCTACTTAGGGGACATTGGTGTTATAGTGTAAAAACCATGGCCACCCAGAATGTCACTCCAAATCACAAGGTGACTTTGGGTCAATGCTAGGCCTCCCTCGACAACACCAAGAACTCTTTTTTACAAAATAAATTATTGCATCATAAACTGCACACTTTTTTATCAAAGTAGCCATAAAGAAAGAATTTTTTGACCGACCGAGACAAAAAATATTTCAAGAAGAATAAAAGCTGGGCCCAAAGTCACCTCATTTGACTATACATATAAACATCCAGCGTAAAATTCTGCAAAATTTAAATAGACCTAGCTTAATGTGTGATTTGGAACTTTAAAAAATTCATGTTGATTTTCCAATTTTTAGTACTCTTATTTGACTTTTCCGGGGGAAATGGCAGTCTTATAGACAATTTTAAGGAAATATTTTAGTGAAAGTCCAAACAGTCAAATGGACATTTGCTTAGTCTGCAGGTTTGCTGGGGCGAATGTATTTCTACTTGTGTACTTAAGACTTCTTATATTTTCAGATGTAATGCTGAATATTCTGCTTTGGATTCTATAAAGTTAGTATCTGACAATCTATCTGAAAGAGTGAAACTTGATTGTGCAAATAACTATGAACTATGTGAAAATAAAGATGGTGTTCTCATAGCTAATAAAATAAAAAGTGAAGTTATTGAGGTCTCAAGTGAAACAATAGTAAATGGCTGTTCATCTTTGAAGTCTCCTGAGGTTAAGGGTCAGAAGACACTATACCAAGACAGTGGCAAAGGGAATAGTATGACTGATATGAGCTTGAACAGTAACTTAATGTTTAGAAGTATGTTTTTCATGAATGATGAAGCTACACGACATTTTTTGGCACCACCTTTGCCCCCAGTACAGCCATGTGATATGCAAGCAGATTACAACTTCCAGAAGAAGTTGATATCTCAAGTATCAGGTTCCAGCACTCCAGGATCATCATCAGTCACTACGAGCAGTACAAAGTAAGTTGAACAAAATTTATGTGGGTACAGTTCTGCCGAGAACCTGTGACATAAGATCGGTTTAAATACCAATAGCCTATATCGTATTGATTTTTATTCGGTTTGATATATATTGTTTCTACAATATATTTTTGTTTAATGTAGGCCTAACCATCGAATTGAGTTATGATCAGTTTTAATATTGATGATTAATAAATGAAACCATGGACAAAAGGAATGAAATAAATCGTCAGCAGTGCTGCGGTTAGCATATGTTCTGGCGTCCCCTGCTAGGAGCGCCATGTAGTTACGGCGCAAACCGCTGCAGCGCCAAGCGCTAGCGACCGTTGCCATGACAACTTGGTAGTTAAAAACCAGTGTTGCCAATATTGGAGTCCCGGACTCTAGGGGATTGGAGTTTGCTGACTTAATTAATACTAAGGAATAACTTCTTTAAATGCCTTATTTAATAGTAAAATAATTATTAAAACATAAATTTGTTATTTTTTTGTTTGGTTTCATTTAAAGTTTTGCTTTATTCATACATAGTTTTAGGAAGAGGGAAGTTCAAAATATAATTAACCTTATTACGTAGGTCTTTACCTATGCCTTACTTTAATCATCTTTGGTTCCTTAACATGGAACATTTCTGTTAAATAATTTATAAATGTTTTGCAGAAAAATGTTTTATTGTTTCTGAATGGTAAATAATGCAGTAAAATAGACTATTACTTTTCCTGAAATTTACCAGGGGTTTTGGCTAAATATTCTGGGAAATTAAGAAGAATTTTGTGGGATTTGGTCAGTCACTACGGAGAATTACTTCTTTCGCTGTGGTCCGGATTCATAGCCTACAGGATGAAGAATCCATGACCAATTTGTGTATGGTCTGTGTCTGGGATCTCTCAAAAAGTAACTAACTAACCTTTCTAGGTGAGAAGTACCTAAGTCATATTAAACAAACAGTACCTTTACACCTAGGCCCTCTTTCATAAAAGGTGACAGGTATATTAGACTATCTACAATTCTACAAATTTGTGTTTCATATATGTTTTAAAATTGACAATTTTATTTCAAATATTTTTTACAAATATGTCAATGTCTTGACAAGTTTGTCAGATTTGTGTTTCATAAAACATGTAGTGTGAAAGGTGATTTTTGACAAATTTTCGAGAAATATGTTGACAATTATGTTGATAAAACCAAGGCCCCACTAGGTTAAAATTAAATTGATTTTACAATACAAATTTTTTGTTAAATTTTTTTGAATAAAATTGACATTTAAGGGTTCTGTGTATGTCAAGCCATTGTGTTTAGTAGTATGAATGTAAACTGTAACGAGGTGTTAGCCCGTCCTACGTACGGGCTGTGTAGGCCTATAATTCAGAACAGCTAGTTTACACGTATAAAGACAAATTTTATTGCAGCCTACAGTATAAAGAGTAATTATCAATTGAGAAGTTTATAGGCCTAGTCAATGATATCACCTTCCATCGCATACCTGCCTCTTCCATAATCAATATAATCACAATACAATTACTCATACTATACACAATTTCCAGTAGGTCTGAATTGAAACTCCCTAAAATAAAACAAAAACATCCAAATAAAATTTACAGTACACATAATTATAACGTTGGTGTCCTGACATCATTAAACGAATCGTCTACACACATCTTTATGTCAATTTCACTGCATCAATTGCTAAATAAATAAGTGTAAACAAAGAGAAGTAAACACAACAACATATTAGTTTATTTTGTAAACAGCTGAGTCAAAAATAAAATAATATTCATTTGAACAAAAGGACTGGTCACATGTTGAAGGAATTTAAAAAGTAAAAACGCTTGTAAAGCTAGTGACGTAATTAATTGTCTATGTTTATTATCCATTCCGTTATCAGTTCTAATATCCTTGATAATTAAACCACTCTCATTGAATCAATGTACATCGTAATTCCCCATATTCATTTATTTAAACTATAAAATATTCAGCGCCTCCAAACGTAACCACAACTAAACACACGCCAAACAACTTTTTAGATTTCATAAAAAGATGGCTAGTCTAATTGCAGTATCCTACGTCAATGATAACGCTGTGTTCAATCTATGTCATTCATCTGTATATCGTTGGATAACACCCGTCTGAGGTTGTGGTGGTAATTTAAAATCGTATTCCTGAGGATTCTTGATCTCCATCTTTATGACATCAATATTTCCGGGCCTAATCCAAACAGTTCAAGCATTCAAAAACATTGATTGTAAACAAAAAGCTACCAAGATAAATTAAAACATGTAAAAATGTTTTATGATTTTCTTATCCTTTCCAAAAAAGTTGAGCAGTAAAATAATTTGCATATCTTTTTTTTAACTTGTGTACAGAGCCTCGACTTGTTCACATCAATGGTGTTACTTATCTCGCTGGTCTACTAATCTTAATTATTTCCTATAATCAATGACAAAATCAGAGTAAATAACCTCATAGTTCTATAGGGCATTTTAATAACTAACCAGCTGTTAGTTAAAACAAATTATATTGCACTAAAACAAACCGAAGATTACAAAGATTACTTAAAAAAATAATTTGAACATCCTAGTATTTTACTATGTATATTTAAATAATCCGTCATCCTCTTATCGAAGGATTGAACGTATCAATGATTAGCATTACACATAGTATAAATAAGTCAACCCTTAATTTAGGAAATTGACAGGAAAGCAGGCTTACCTTTAAATAAGTCCATAGAGACACATAAAACATCACAAAATTAAAAGTAGAAATGTTTGTGGTCACTGACCACTTTTTCAACCACTGGAGATTGGAGAAAATTTTGAAATTTTTTGAAAATTTTAAAAAATTTGAAATTTTCTCCAATCTCCAGTGGTTGAAAAAGTGGTCAGTGACCACGAAAATTTCTACTTTTAATTTTGTGATGTTTTATGTGTCTCTATGGACTTATTTAAAGGTAAGCCTGCTTTCCTGTCAATTTCCTTAATAATTCCTGGCAAATGCCCTATCTTTTTATAAGATAAGTCAACCCTTAGTATGTCTTTTAATTTGATCCAAATGCTGAATTTGTGTTACAAACGCTGAATGTTTACAGCTGTTATGTTAAGCAAATTATATTATACCAAAAGCTAGTTTAGAATCTTAGTGTCGGCTGCTAGACTTTTCAAAAATTAAAACTTAATTATCTAAAAAACTGAAACCCTAAACTAAAATTATGGCTTCGACATTCCCTAGTTCTCAAAATTATCTTTCTTTCAACACAAAAATCATATAAATCCGTCAAGTGGTTGATTCAGAATCGTGAAATAAAAAACCCCTGTTTCGTTTTAATATTATAGATATTAAAGATAAATTATTTTCAGTTCAATTCAATTCAATTCATTTGATTTATTCATGTCATAAACCAGTTTATAAAAAGACTAGCTGTAACCCGCGGGCTTTGCCCCGTTTAACTTCTTAATTTTCAAGATGATCTCGTTCGCATGGCTCAATCACGTCCTGGTTGAAGTTCGTTCGCTACGCTCACTCACCTTTAGGTTGGAGCTCGTTCGCTGCGCTCACTTGCCTTCAGGTTAGCTCGTTCGCTACGCTAACTCGCCTCCAGGTTGAATCCAAAAGCCCGGCAAAGAGCCAAAATGAGACTTAAAAATACAATGAAACAAAAGGACAGTTGGCGTTATAGTGCAGTAGAAATAATTGAAAATATAGCTTAAGGTGGAACTAATTGCAACACAAATGATTCTTGCTGTGAATGGTAGGTAGTATGCTTCTAATCAACATACTATAAATATACATCCGTACTGTGGCGCAAAATACGTTTTTTTTTTGCCGCCATCTTGAAAAAAGGGTATCAAATTATAGGATATTTAATGCTGAAAAATGATATAATAGTGGTTAGAAGCACTATTTATAAATACGATCGTAGTACAAAATACCCCCGCCGCAGCAAACCTGCAGACTAAACGAATTTCCATTTGTCTTAATTGATTTTCAATTAAATCTAATAATTGAGTTTTAAAATCTTTGTACAACTAAATCTAGAGTTCTACTGGACCGATTTTATTAACTAATAGGTCGTTGGAAAGCTTAATTCGTGTAGATTTTCAAATAATTATGAAAGTTTGATTTTTTTAAGATTTACTAGGTGAAACCCGTCAACATCGACAGTTAGTCTACTATTGAGGTTGCAAGCAAAATCTTTTGACTATAAATCGATGTTAAATAACTCCATTTTTAAACAATTTTGGTTGTTTGTGATTTAAAGCAGTGTGCTTTAGGTACGTCCGATCTTAATAATGAATAATTCCAATGGAAGCTGGTATTTCACTGAAGGTTTTTAGATAACAACATATGGGATAATGTAACATCTTGAATACATATTTAATTAAAGTAAAAATTTAAAAAATCCAATTTAAATTTTGTTGTAGATTAATACATTTGATAGATTAATGATGATGCTTGAAGCCAAATATGTGCTTGCATAGCTTTGAGACCGAAATTATCAAAATCGGTCGGGTAGAAGAGTTAAACGAACTAAAAAAACACATTTAAGTCACATAAGTAATGTACAGGGAGGCAGTTTGTGCATGACTCAAAATATACGTCAAAATGAATGCCGATGCTTGATGGCAAATCTGTGGTGCATCCATACCTTTAGTTTTAAAGCCGGATTTACACTATGTAGAAAAACCTGCTACATATATAACTTTTGCTATAGCCTATAACATTGTTATTTAACTTTTGCTATATAACATTGCTATATAACTTTTGCTGTATGAAAAATTTACAGACAATTTTAGTGATTCTGGTGCTTGTGCTATAATGCTATGTAGCACAACCTCATTCGCATTCCGTATCGAAATGTGCGCTGAAGAGACTTGTTCGTGGCAACTATCGCGGTGATCTTGGAAGTCAGAGAGAGAGAGAGACGGAAGTAAAGATCAACATAAAAAGATAAAATCATTTTTAGAAACTCTATACTGTGAATCTTGGTGACGTTCTGTTCTCTAATATTTGATTGTTTTCATGTTATCTCAAAAATGAGTCAGCATAATAGTTCTTTATTGGTTTGTGGTAGACGTTTAACATCGCTAATAAAGATGAAGGCGCTTATTAGACAATAGACACTAGACAATAGACAAAGCTTTATTGTACATAACGCCTGATACAATAATTACAAAAGTAATTCCCAAGCTGGTACATGGTCAATTTATATCTAGGTTCCTTAATCTAATTATACCCTGACAAGAGTAAAAACTATTACAATTTATCTTTAAAAAACGTCTGAATTTTGTAATACGCTTTTTGGCTCAAAGTCTCTTTCAGTTTATATGTAAAATTTGATTTTGATAAAGTTCTGTATGAATTAGGTAAATGATTGTAGATTTTTAATCCCATGTAAAGAGGCCCAGTTTCAAATTTTGTGTGCGAGTGTTTGGGATATTGAAAAGTTTTGTTATTATTTCTCGTTTGATAGTTATGATTTATCTTATATTTTTCAAAAAAAAAGGATTTGCATGAACATACTTTGCTATTTCAAATATATAAAGAGAAGGTAATGTTAAAATGGAATGTTTTTTGAAAAAAGGTTTACAGCTTTTTTTAGACTTCTGGTGAAAAATAGTTCTGAGAATTGACTTTTGGCAAGTGAACACTTTCTTGGCCTCTGCAGAGTTACCCCATAGAGTGACGCCATAAGCCAGCAAAGAATGAACATACGCATGATATACTGTCAAGCAGACTTCTAGCGGCGTGACCTTGGATAGTACACTTAGTGAATACCTTGTTGACCTTAATTTTTTATTTAGATGATGAATGTGATCAGACCAACTTAATTTTGAGTCTAAATTTAGACCTAAAAACTTAACAATTTTTGTATTACTGATTGTGGTGTCTGTAACTCTGTTTCTGAGTTTAAATTGAAGAATGTTAGTTTTACATTCATTTAATTTCAGGCCATGGCTCTCAAACCATTCATTGATTTGTTTAATTGTGCTGTCAAAAGTTAATTGTTAATTTAAGTTCACTTAGTGTTTTTCTTTTTAAAAGAGCAGTTGTGTCATCGGCATACAAAGTGAAAGCACAGGAATTTGTGGAAAGGCAATGAGGCAAGTCATTAATAAATATAATAAATAATAAAGGCCCAAGTATGGAACCTTGGGGAACACCATATGTAACGCTGGCCCAGTTAGAATAATATTTTATTGATTTTTTTATTACTATTGTGCGCTGCTTTCGATTGAATAGGTATGATCGTAATAATTCTAGTGCCATTCCCTCCAAGCCAATATTCTTCAATTTGATCAGCAGCAACCTGTGGTCCACACAGTCAAAAGCCCTGGATAAGTCACAGAAAACTCCTGCAGTCAACTGTGACTGATCCAGAGCTTCAAGGACACTACTAATATAAGTAAAAAGAGCATTATGTGTGCTTAGATTTCTTCTAAAACCAAACTGCTCTTGACACAGTTTTGAGTTACATTCCAGGTAATTTGCAATTCTAAGATGAATAATTTTTTCAAACATTTTAGATACATTACTGAGTAAAGAAATTGGTCTGTAATTTTGACTATTATTATGTGTGCCTTTTTTTAAAATTGGTCTGATTTCAGACAATATTAGCAAGTCTGGAAATTCACCCTCACTAAATGATTGATTGATGAGTCTAGCTATAATATCAGAAATAATGTCAGCAGTCCATTTCAATAATTTAGTAATAATTTAAATTAAATACCATAAATAATAATTTAAATTTAAATAATAATTTAAATTACCACCACAACCTCAGCCGGGTTTTTTACAAAGATAAACAGATGGATGACATAGACTGAACACAACGTCAACATTGACCTAGGATACTGCAGTTAGACAAACCATCCTTTTATGAAATCGTGTTCAGTTGTGGTTATGTTTGGGGGCGCCTATATCAGCGCCCCCAAACGTGAAAATATCACTTTTATTTCAACTATGAATATATTGTAGTTTAAATTAACTAATATGGGAAATTACGATGTACATTTATTCAATGAGGGTGGGTAATTATCAAGGATAGAACTGATAACGGTATGGATAATAAACATTGAAAATTACGTCATTAGCTTTACTAGCGTGTTTACTTTTTATATTCCTGCTACATGTGACCAGTTCTTTTTTTTCAAATGAATGTTATTTGAACCAAACACTGTTTCAAAACAAACTGTTATTGTTTTTACTTTTCTTTGTTCACGCTTGCAATTAATGCAGTGAAATTGATATAAAGGATAGGTGTGACGATTAGTTTTGATGTTAGGACACCAAAGTTAAATTATGTGTACTGTGAATTTTATTGGATATTATCGTTTTATTTTAGGTTGTTTCTATTCAGACCTACTACAACTAAGTTACTATACACAATTTCCAGTTATTGTGGTGATAATAATTATGGAAGAGGCAGGTATGCTATGGAAGGTGGTATCGTTGACTAGGTCTATACACATCTCAATTGACTATTACTCGCTCTACTGTAGGCTACTTATAATTAGGGGTGTGCGAGTACTCGAAACGTTCGAGTAGTTATTCGAGTAGTAAACTACTCGAACTCGGCTCGATGCTTTTAAAACTACTCGAGTTTTAATCGAGTAGTAATAGTTTTGGAGAAGGAGTATATAAACTGCATTTTGTTTTTGTATTAAACAGATTTTCGTACCAATATTAGTAAGAAAATAACACATTATCTTTATGGAGTTTTATTCCTAACCCCTTTTCGTCATTCACCTATTCATCAACAATTGATACTGATACTGAAGGTCTAACGTCTAACGCATTGCGATTCACGGAAGAAGATGACTACAGTAGATACGGCTACAAATCCTACACACATAGAATTATTCAATTTTCAAGGTAAGTACCCATTTTTAGTTTAGTTTATTAATTACTCTTGAAATAACTTAATTTTAAACCACTTTTACTTTATCAAAAATTGATTAAAAACTCATAAAGTGTATTATACTTAAGGAACTACTTTTTCATTGAAAACGTCATGACATGGAGAACAGACGACGGTCGACGAAACGAAAGGCAAAACTACAGAAGAGTGACGACGCTTGGTTTTATCCACTGAGCTAAAAATATAACTGGAGGCACTGCCATGGCAGAAGTCTGTCAAAAGCGTGTCGCTGATTTTGTTAGGTTGGTATAGCAGTGAGTTTTTTTTATCCAATAACATGGCTTCTATAACTAGGTTGGTATAGAAGTGAGTTTTCTTATCCAATAACATGGCTTCTTATAACTCACACCTCACGCAAACATGGCGGCTGGCGACACGCATCTTTGACATTCAGTGCTACCTCCAGTTAGAATTATAGCTCAGTGGTTTTTTCCAAGGACAAAAAAGTTGGTTATTTTTGTGACGCGATTTGTTATAAAGGACATTCATTATACCTGTTTATGGATCAGCTGAAGAAAATGGTACTGTATTGTTAGTTCTGTCCGGTGCACTGTAGAGGTTGTGTTTGGTTTACAATTTGTTTCTTCTTATATTTGTCATTTAAAACCTCGTTTAACCAAATAAAACTATCTAATCATCAACAATAACTCATCCCCTAAACAGTAAAGCACAAATAATAAACCTTAACCCTAGAATCATTAAAATAAAGTTTCGTCAGCACTAGCGCCCAGTGTCACTGGACATGAACTAGATACAAAAAAAGCTTCCAAATTTACAATGGGAAGAGAAGTCTACTTGTGTCGGTTAGTCTATGGCAGTAACCTTTACTTTTTATTTTTATGTTAATAAACAAACGAGGTTTTAGGTACCCGTCAAATATTATACATCTATTATAATATTCATATCACTATCTATAATAGTTAACATAACCTTTAATGGAAACGAAAAGTAACAACAGTTTATGGATATTTGCTTGTTATAAAACATATACTTCAATTGAATGGATAAACTTCCTCTTTGTCCTTTGTCGTCTGTGGACTCCCTCTGGACTGTAACCGACTGACTGAAGTGATTTAAAAAAAATCAGTCTGCGCCAGCAGGCAGCCTGTTTTGTTTTATTTCATGTTCTTCTCAATACTAATACTATTCATTCACATTTCAAACTCATAACGAAATGCCGGTCCCCTGTAAATTAGTTAAGTTAAAGTGTCTTGTGTTATTCTGACTGTGTTAGCTTTAGTTTCTAGGATTTTAGATAGGACATTGTGATATATTACTGTTGAAATATGGAGGAATTTGATGTGGACGACCCTTCCCCGCTACCGAGTACAAGTAGTACTAGTACTAGGCCTAGTAATAGTAATAGGCCTACTTCCGACTCAAGCCTAGGCCTAGGCCGAACTAAACGTCAGATTGCTGTCGTTTGGAAATATTTCCAAAGAAGTGGCTTGAATCCTGCTGAAGGTAAATGTAATAAGTGTGGTGATGTTTTAAAGCTCAAAACTGGCTCGACCACTTCGATGATAAGACATTTAGAGGGGAAGCACCCTGATATCTACAAAGAGTACATTAATGAGCAAAAGCAATCCGAAAACAAAAAGTTGACAAAACAGCCGAAACTTTCCTATTTTAAGCAACCTAAGATTAATGATCTATTGACTAGTGGGGAAAAGTGGCCACCACATCACCCAAAGGCAAAATTAATAACGAATTCCATCACTAGGTGGATGGCAAAAAGTCTACATCCTTATAGCCTTGTGCAGGAGGAAGGCTTTGTTGATCTAATGAAGTTAGTTGAGCCTAAATATAAGGTTCCATGCAGAACAACATTTTCGCGGAGCTTGATTCCAGAACTTTATTTATCAACAAAAAACAGAGTTGAGGAAGACATAAAAACTAATTTGGAAAAGGGTTTAAATTCTGTGGCCATTTCTTCAGATTTGTGGACATCGTCTGCCAATGATTCGTTTTTATCAGTAAACGCTCACTTTGTTGATGACAGCTTCAGTCTAAAGACTCACTGTTTGGCTAATGCGCACTTTGAAGACGAGCACAATGGAAGGAACATTGCCGGAAAATTAAAACAAATTGTTGAACAACAATATGGACTCAGGCCTCAAACAGTTCGTATATTCGGTTTGACTGACAACGCCTCAAACATGGTCTCTGCTATGACACTCGTTGAAGATTGGACCCACTTCAGATGCTTTGCCCATACCTTACAGCTAGCATTAAATGATGCCAAGAAAGATGTGACTGGCATGTTAAAGATGCTCTCCAAGGCCAGAGCTATAGTCGGCCACTATAAACACAGTTCAACTGCCCAATCAAGACTAAATAAACTGCAACTGCAATTGGGACTGCAACCCCTCCATTTAGTACAGGACTGTGAAACTCGCTGGAACAGTGAGTTTCACATGCTGTCGCGGTTGATTGAATTAAAACAACCTCTCTCAGCAGATTTGGCAAATGTTGAAAAAATTGAAAATTTAAACTCAAATGAGTGGGAATTAGCTGAGGGGTATGTAATTATTCTCAAACCTCTGGAGAGTGCCACTACTGCAGCCTCTAGCAGTGCTCTTCCTACCCTGTCTTCAGTCTTGCCCATCCTCGATGGGATAAAAGCTGTTCTGAGAAACTACATTCAGGCTGGTAAGAAAGGACTGATGTTTGCTAGAGCCCTTGAAAAATCTATTAAGTCAAGATTTCCTGATGGACAATATTTAATGAAAAAAGAATATGTATTGGCAATGACCATTGATCCCCGGTATAAGACAGTGATCCTTGACGATGAACATAAAAGAGTAGCAAAAGACTTGCTTCAAAATGAAGCTGTCAGGCAACTAGAAAAATTAAAACAAAAAGAGTCTATGTCCAGTTCATCTACAGCAGCTACAGGGGAGGAAAGCTGTGAAACCCAGAAAGGTTTGTTTTAGTAATTTTGATTACTTTATTCTGTTTTGGCCTATACAAATATTATTTCAAATACAATAAAATTAAACTTTAATATAATTTTGACAATTAAATTTTTTTAACTAGTACGATTTAACTTTTACCACTTAAATGCATTAAGCGAAAAACATTGTATTACAATTACAATACACAATGTAGGCCTAATTAAATTTTGTTTCAATTAGGTTTAGCTATTTATTATTATTGTTATTTCACTTAAAGGATTTATTATTTACTGATAAAATATCGGACCTAAAATGACTTCCACTCAGTATTAAGAAAGTTTCTGAAAGAGTAACTTATGTTTGGAGACCTATTGTGCACATATTTCATTTAGCTTTAATAAATGTTATTTTAGTTTGATAGGCCTATCTTTTTTTAGGTACCCAGGACCAGGACCAGGACCAGACTTTTTCTTTATGGCATCACTTCCAAAGCCGGTCCGGAACACCAACATGCGTAGTAACATCAGTAGCCATATCAAATCAAGTTGATGCTTTTCTATCTTCTCCCACAATAGACTTAAAGGAAGATCCATGCAAGTGGTGGAAGATGAATGCTTGCATGTATTCCTTCTTGGCACCTATAGCCAAAATGTACTTGGGTGTACCAGCGACTGAGGTTGAGAGTGAGCGAGTTTTTTCCAGTGCCGGAAACGTAGTAAGTGAACGGCGTCGCAGATTGAAACAAGAACATATAAGTGAACTAGTGTTTTTGCACCACAACATCTAACTTAGTTACCAATGTTACCACAACTTACTTAAATTTGTTATTTTATAGCCTTAGATGTTTTTTACGTGAGGCTAACTACATTTACCTAAACTTCCAGTGCAATTATCTTTTTTGTAATTCAAAGTAGGCCCATTATATTTACCTATATTAAGTTTATTTGACTCTTTATGATTATTGATTCTAAGTCTTTGTTGTTTGCTTAGGCCTAAATGGCTACAATATCTTATTTCTTGTTCCTAATAGTGCAATTAGTTTTTTTTTTGTAATTCAAAGTAGGCCCATTATATTTGCCTATATTAAGTTTATTTGACTCTTTATGATTATTGATTCTAAGTCTTTGTTGTTTGCTTAGGCCTAAATGGCTACAATATCTTATTTCTTGTTCCTAATAGTGCAATGAATTTTTTTGTAATTCAAAGTAGGCCCATTATATTTGCCTATATTAAGTTTATTTGACTCTTTATGATTATTGATTCTAAGTCTTTGTTGTTTGCTTAGGCCTAAATGGCTACAATATCTTATCTCTTGTTCCTAATAGTGCAATTAGTTTTTTTTTGTAATTCAAAGTAGGCCCATTATATTTGCCTATATTAAGTTTATTTGACTCTTTATGATTATTGATTCTAAGTCTTTGTTGTTTGCTTAGGCCTAAATGGCTACAATATCTTATCTCTTGTTCCTAATAGTGCAATTAGTTTTTTTTGTAATTCAAAGTAGGCCCATTATATTTGCCTATATTAAGTTTATTTGACTCTTTATGATTATTGATTCTAAGTCTTTGTTGTTTGCTTAGGCCTAAATGGCTACAATATCTTATCTCTTGTTCCTAATAGTGCAATTAGTTTTTTTTGTAATTCAAAGTAGGCCCATTATATTTGCCTATATTAAGTTTATTTGACTCTTTATGATTATTGATTCTAAGTCTTTGTTGTTTGCTTAGGCCTAAATGGCTACAATATCTTACTTCTTGTTCCTAATAGTGCAATTAGTTTTTTTTTTGTAATTCAAAGTAGGCCTATTATATTTGCCTTTATTAAGTTGTTTTGACTCTATAAATATTGATTCCAAGTTTTTGTTGTTTGTTTAGGCCTATATGGCTACAATATCTTATTTCTCTTTACTAATACATGAACTGTCTTATTTAGGAACAACTTACCTTACATTGAGAGGATACACCAACTTTGTTCATTTTTCTCTTCAATTTAAAAATGTTAAGGCTTATTGCAGAAATTGGTCTACTGGTTTTAGCGCATTAACTTAAGATTTATCTGGACCACAATTCAAATCAAAGTTAAGCTAATTGATTCTGTTCTCGTCCCATGTTATTAATTAGGGTCTATTAAGGTTTAGGTGTTGAAGAACTACAATATGTATACTTTTTAGATATTGACTTGTACTTGTAGGGTGTATAAAATGTATTAACTCAAATTGAGTTATATTCTCTTTTTCTTTTTTCATTAATGTCAAATTCATTTTCATAATTTTACTCAACCAGTATTTATCATGTTGTTTTGGGTAGCCTACAAAATATTCCAATCAAGCCTAATATTGACTGGATATTAAATAACTGGAACTTATTTTGTCATTAAAGTCACTATTATTTGGCCTTATGAATCACTGTTATTGATTGCTAGATAATAGATATTGATATTATGAAAAGAAAGACTGTTTTACACTGTAAACAACTGTGTTCAAGTGTGTGTAACATAAATGTAGGCCAATACATTTATATTAAATGTAGACGTGTACATTGTTTTATTACATGTATTTTCTGGTTTAATTCTTATTTCATTTAATCCATTACAGTACTTTTATTAATGCTATATAGTTCTCCATAGATATCTTATTGATATGGTATGGTAGGATGGATAGGATTAAAAATGCATATATATTAGAAAATATGTAGGTGAGGTTAGGTTCACACAAATCTGTCATGTAATAGGTTAACGTAAATGTGTACTGTTCTAAATAGAATTGGATACAAAAATCAGGTAAAAAAAATAAAGAAAACAAAATTATTACTTAACATTTGGGGTATAGGACAACTTTATTTTATGAAAATGGACCTAATGCATTGCTTTTATTAAGTAAAATCACACTAAACAGGTACCTAGTAACTATATATATACTTACCAGTTGTTTTGAACATTGTTTTTAAGTGCTTGAATGAATTCAGCACTTACGTAATTACTCGCTCGAAATTACTCGATACTCGAAAAAATAACTAAATACTCGACTCGACTCGACTCGAACTAAAAAATCACTACTCGCACACCCCTACTTATAATCAGATTGCGTCTGTGCGAATCTGTTGCAAATCTCACTTCAACGCTTTTCACATCGTAAAAATTGCAGAATTGCTGTTTTATTGTAAAATTATCGGATTTAAAATTCATATCGTATAGGCCTATGATGAAATAAAAACATATTTGGTCACACAAAATTTGTTTACGAGAGGATTTTTCACATTAAAACTGCATGAAACTTTGTCTTTATATGTGTAAATTAGCTGATCTGAATTGTAAACGTTTTTATGACTACTGAATTCCCGTACGTAGGACGGGCTAACACCTCGTATTACTTTAATAACATTTGAGAAGTTTTGTTAAGTGTAAGCAGTGTGAGGAATGTTTTATTACTATAAAAAGTCAAAACAAGTAACTATTTTATAAAAATTAATATTGCTTTTATTTGATGATTTATTTTATTTTAGGATAAGTTGAACTCTATCCTAACTGATATCACTATGTTTTCTAATCGTAGGCATTTTTAATAAGCTAGGCAAGATTAATAAAAAAATGTTATACTGATGTTTTTTAATAAAATATTGTAAATATTCTTGCCTATTATCATTATTTTTGTATTTAAACAGTCATCTAACAATGTTACGAAATCAGGTAAAAATTTTGAACGTGTATTTCCCGTTGTGTATGAGAAGGGAAATCCGTCTCGATCTCGTCTCGAAATTTTATGAGAAATAAAAAATCTCGTCTCGTCTCGAACTAAAAATCCAATCTCGTCCATCCCTATTGTAAACCTTGAAAGATGTACTGTGACGCAAAATTCTAAGGGGGGAATAAACTAATATTCACCTAAGTCAGGCTAGGCCTACCCCTAGAACTGGCCACACTCAAATTTCTTCCCCGGAGTGCTCAGAAGGAGCCGAGAAAAATCCAGGGGTCAATACGAAGTTGTCACGGCTTTGACTGATCAATTTATTTAAATTTTATCGAAGGCTCAGAGCTCTAGAAGCGCTCAGGAAATTCTGCAGACGCTCAGTGGGAGCTATATCATCCCAGCCTTCGTAATAGTGTTTTAGAAATTTTGCCTAACTTTTGAATGACTCTGTAGGGCCGACGAGTATTCAATCTTAAGCCAGTGTGATTCAATTACTCATAATAAACTTTAAAATAATTAACTAAAGGCCTAGGTAAATAATATAAAATCGAATATAATGTAAAAGCAATTCCTACAGAGTCGTTGGGGCCTAATTAATATAATTGGACGGATAATTTGACGTGAGATGATTTAAAATAAACATTAATTTACATAGCTGATTGTTCAAATCAGCCTGCTCCCAAGACTTGGTTCTTTCACCCGCCAAAGACGGGGTTTAGAACTTAGACGACAAGTCTCGGGGTATTAAAACGTCGAATCGATTAAAATAATTTAAGTAATAATTCGTTAAGCGGATGAAACAAATGTAATTTCGTGGACAATTAATTTAAACGGAACGAAAGATATCCTCCGCTAGTCACTGACCGGCAGGAACTGGCGGGTCGACAAATATAATCGAACTTAAAACGGGTGAAAATAAGTGGCAGACGAGTATACGTATGTCAAAATAAAACGAAAATAAAATGAACGTTAGAAAGTCTAACAACGAAGTTAGCTAACCTGAATCAATAACGTAGAATCGTATGGCGTGATCGTAATTTCGCAAGAGCTCCTCGTGAACAAGTCGACGGTTGAACAGCGAATAAAAACTTGTCCGGCTCAAATCCCGATTTCCTCGGCCGCGGCTCAAGCGCTGCGGTGGCGATTTCGGAAACTAGCCAAAAGCTGATCGGGGATTCGCCTGTTGAGCCGGTCTAGTTGTCGTCTGTCGTTGGTCAACAAACACCAGCTTAAGGTTATGTTGACGTGGTCGGTGATAAATACTTGTAAAATCGGTCGGTTTAACTTTATTATGTGAAACGGAGTGCTATTATGAATAAATATATCGTTGTGGGTGTGTTTGTGTACTTCACTGTTATTAAAAGTAGGCCTACGTTCTTTGGCCCATAGCCCAAGCTATGGCCAACACATAGGCCTAGGAGTAGGATGTTGTGGGTAAAAATCGGGTAAGTTATGGTGTTTGTTGACTATCAATACGTTTTTTTACCCCCCTTAAAATTTGGTACCTCACAGTACTAAAACTTTTGTTCGAACCATATTTGCGAATTATTTCTATTTAAAAGTAAACATAGAGAAAAACAAAATTTTGCACTCTGAAACAAAGCTTTTAACGAAGTTTAAATTTTATATCTCCCTAAGTATTGGTTTTAGAAAAATGTTGTAAATACAAAAGTTGTAGGAAAACTAACCAGAAATAAATCAAAACAAATTGCAGCTCGATAGCTTACATAGCATTCGAGTTATGATCAATTAAGTAAAACACTGCAATTTCTTAGTTTGGAGTGGGGTGGGGGGGAAAGCTCAAGGGGTAGAAGTGGGGACTTTTGGGAAAATAAACCTCTCATGTGGTTCTATCACATATAAAAAATCCAGCTTTTTACCATTTAGTTGCGATAAAAAAAAATTATTGACTGGGCTAAAAATAGGTTACACAACCAATAACTTGATTCTTTTTTACTTGTGGGTGTATTTTGAGTTTGCAGTTATGAAAGCACCAAGCCAAGTAACTTAAGCACTTTAATTAAAGAGCATTGTTCTTACCCAGACCAATTTCAGTCATGAGCAACTATATTATATGTTGTTTTAAGTAAGGCTACATCTTTTAATAGGTTACACATTCACTATGGGAAATTTTGACGAGGGTAATCTTCCTGGAGGTAACTTCAAGAATAAAATCGTAGTATTCATATGGAAGTGCTTTTGTGGTTAAAATATTGTTTTTTTAGTGTTTATTTTTTAAAGTGTTTTCTTCAAGCAGCATTTTATGACCCTCAAAATATGCTACATAGGCCTATTGGTTTGATATGATAAAAAGTTTTGTTAAATGTGTTTAAAAAAAAAAATTAAATAACTACCCTATAACATACTTTAACACTTATTAATTCACTAAATAAAATACACATACAGCTAGAAAATGGCTGGACTGCTTCTCTTCTAAGGCTTTATTATTACTGTATTTAATTTTTTACGTTGAGCCAATATATAACACGATGAATTTGTTTTCTAAATTCATATGTAATTTTGCGGGGCATTGAGCCGCACAGGTTCACTAGTAAATAATAAAAGTACAAAATTCAACATACATAACAAGAGTAAATCTATAACAACACAAAGCTGTGCAAAACAACAAAACTAAATCATTAAGGTTAAGAACAGGTGAAAAAAGGGGTTTGCTGAGGGTAATTTACAAGAGGCGAGAGGAAGGAATATACAGAGAGAAGCACCTTGTACCGGAAATTCTGGCTTAGCTTTTCACTGATCAGGATTATAACTTTGTACAAACACATTCAATTTTTTCTTGAACTCTGCTTGGCTCACTTTTTGTGTTCTTAGACCAATTATCAATTATCAATTATCAATCATTAAGATGGGGACACCTAAATCTCTTTGACTCTTTATTGACTAAATCCACTTGTGCTGCATTTCCCAATTGCATCGAAAGAGGAATCGTACTGTGGTACAGGTATGAAGTCGGGTAATGCTGTCTGGTGAAAAGATGCTGCGGTCGAGTTCCTTGAGGTATGTGAAAGTCCAATTTTGTGAGAATTTCAGGACATTCCACCATTACTGATGGAAATTTATTAGAGACAATTTTAACTTTCTTTATCAAATTCTCAATAAGTTATGAGTTCAAGTGATAGTAGAAGTAATGATAGTGACTCTAAGGCAGTGATGTTGGAGAAGAGGTAATTAGATTAAAAAGGGGTTTCAAACAAAGGATAAACATCCACAATCCTTTCCCACAAAATTTTTCTAAAAAGGATGTCTTTATTCTCTTTTATTAGCTTTAAAACATTGTTATCTTGTCATCAGACATCTCACACTGGAGTATGTTGGGTTATCCTGAACAACAACAATAAACAACCATTAAATGTAAAAGTAGCTAATTCATGACATGTTAAAAGATAAATAAAACATGTGACAATTTGCAATTTTTAAATTGTCACCTGTCGGAATTGTCATTCCTGTCACCTTTTATGAAACGGGGCGCTTATTCATCATAAGACTATCTTCTTTATAATTGTAGTAAACCGAAGCTTGATATAAATTTCTCATGTTCTTTTGATATTTCTCTATTTCTTCAGCACTGGTAACATCAGTGTGTCTTCGGCCAACATTAACACAAGTGGACAAAGCACGACAGGTACCAACACGACCAATCCTGGTAACCAACAGACGACAGTGAGTGTAGGTTCAGCTACATCTCCTGTGGACAACAAACTCAACATAACTCTGCCTAAACAGAGACCTCACACCTGTGAGGAGTGTGGCAAAACATTCTTGATGAAGCATCATTTGCTCACTCACATGCGGGTAGTGAGTAATCATTTTATTGATCTATTTTAGTTATAAATAACTAGTTAACTATAAATTAACAAGAGGATCTACCCACAAATTCACGGATGTACAGAAGCCACCATTAAATTAACTTTGACTTTATATTTAATTTAAAGGGCCCAAGTTCAAGAAATCGTCATCAGAAGAAATGTTAAAAGCAGCAGAACCTTCATACCTTACGTTCTGAGGTGGCCGAGGTGGTTACTTTTGTACCTGAACTTGCCGCTCTCTTTCACGACGTCCTGTTAAAGATCGGTGACAACCTCTTGGAACGACCAACCGACATGTTTTGTTAATCTCATATTCATGGATTAATCAAACCCGAAAAGAGTCTTCAATTAATGTTTTTCAAATAATCTAATTACTTAAATGCTCAAAATTTACCAAAAATTCCTTGTTTCAAATTGAGTGGTAACATTGTAGACTGCTGTTTGTCCCAGGTACACACTGGTGAAAGGCCATATGTATGTCCTGAGTGCAACAAGAGCTTTGCACTAAAGCATTGTCTCAGCACTCATCTGCTGCTACATACAGCCGAACGCCCTTACAAGTGCAACGAGTGCAACAAGAGCTTCACACTTAAACATCATCTGGTGAGTGTTGCATAACCCTATATCCTCATCTAATCCATTGACATAATCATATTTTATTTGCACATAACATTCTTTACATGTGTTACATACAGAATAGGTGCATTGTCAGAGTTACAATTATAAGGATATAATACCCCCGCCGCAGCAAACCTGCAGACTTAGCGAATTTCCATCTGCCTGATTGGATTTAAACTAAAATGTCTCCTTAAAAATATCACATTTATTGAGCGGAGCGAGCGAAGCTCTTATACGTCGACTTTTATGCATTTCGTAATACGCAAACTCCTCCTAGACGGCTGAATCAATCGTTTTCAAATTTTGGATGGTGGTAAAGACCATATCGGTGAGTGCCAACATCTATATGGCGTTAAAAATAACTCTCAGGAATCCGCCCCACTGGGTCTCAAAGTTTCAATGTAATCCTTATGGAAGCAGTATTTGACACATAAACAAAGACATATGATCAGCTGTTGACTTGTGAATGCAGTAGATAAATAAATAGCTGATAGCATTATTCCACAGATATTAGAACATAAACGGTGGTATGGATCATAAAATAATCAAATGACGACACTAGCTTGAGGTCCGCGACGTAGGAAGTGTTAAAGGAAGTAAAGTACTAAAGGTGAACAGTCTGGAGTGTGCAAACTGTTTATGACGATTAGATTTAGGTATCTGCATTCCAAAAATTATCAGGGAAGGGAGGAAAACGAGTCCACGACGTAGGAAGTGATGAAGGAAGTAGTCAAGGCAAGCTGTCCGGAGTGTGGGAACTGCTTATGACCATTATATTAAGGTATCGGCAATCATAAAATGCTATGGAGGGGAGAGAAACAGGTCCGTGGCGTAGGAAGTGGCGAAGGAAGTAGTAAGGAGAGCATTCCGGAGTGTTGGAACTGTTTATGACGATTAGATTAAGGTATCTGCAATCATAAAATGTTATGGGAAGGGAGCAAAACGGGTCCGCGACGTAGGAAGTGATGAAGGAAGTAGTCAAGGCAAGCTGTCCGGAGTGTGGGAACTGCTTATGACCATTATATTAAGGTATTTGCAATCCTATGATGCTATGGGAAGAGAGGGAAACATGTCCCCGATGTAGGGAGGAAAACGGGTCCGCGACGTAGGAAGTGATGAAGGAAGTAGTCAAGGAAAGCTGTCCGGAGTGTGGGAACTGCTTATGATCATTATATTAAGGTATTTGCAATCCTATGATGCTATGAGAAGGGAGGGAAACATGTCCGTCACGTAGGAAGTGGTGAAGGAAGTAGTAAAGAAGAGCAGTCCGGAGTGTGGGAACTGTTTATGACGATTAGATGAAGATATCTGCAATCATAAAATGCTATGGGAAGGGAGGATAACGGGTCCGCGACGTAGGAAGTGATGAAGGAAGTAGTCAAGGCAAGCTGTCCGGAGTGTATGAACTGTTTATGACAATTAGATTAAGGTATCTACAATCAAAAAAATCTATGGAAAGGGACGGAAACAGTTCCGTGGCGTAGGAAATGGCGAAGGAAGTAGTCAAGGCGAGCAGTCCGGAGTGTTGGAACTGTTTATGACGATTAGATTGAGGTATCTGCAATCATAAAATGCTATGGGAAGGGAGGGAAACAGTTCCGTGGCGTAGGAAGTTGCGAAGGAAGTAGGAAAGGCGATCTTTCCGGAGTGTTGGAACTGTTTATGACGATTAGATTGAGGTATCTGCAATCATAAAATGCTATGGGATGGGAGGAAAAAGGGTCCGCGACGTAGGAAGTGATGAAGGAAGTAGTCAAGGCAAGCTGTTCAGAGTGTGGGATCTGCTTATGACCATTACATTAAGGTATCTGCAATCATAAAATGCTATGGAAAGGGAAAAAAACAGGTCCGTGGCGTAGGAAGTGGCGAAGGAAGTAGTAAAGGCGAGCAGTCCGGAGTGTTGGCACTGTTTATGACGATTAGATTAAGGTATCTGCTTTGACTTTAAAAGACCTGCAATCATAAAATGCTATAGGAAGGGAGGAAAACGGGTCCGCGACGTAGGAAGTGATGAAGGAAGTAGTCAAGGCAAGCTGTCCGGAGTGTGGGAACTGCTTATGACCATTATATTAAGGTATTTGCAATCCTATAATGCTATGGGAAGGGAGGGAAACATGTCCGTCACGTAGGAAGTGGTGAAGTAAGTAGTTAAAGCCAGCAGTCGGGAGTGTGGGAACTGTTTATGACGATTAGATTAAGGTATCTGCAATCATAAAATGCTGTGGGAAGGAAGGAAAACAGGTCCACGATGTAGGAAGTGGTGAAGGGGGGTAGTCAAGGCAAGCTGTCCGGAGTGTGGGAACTGTTTATGACGATTAGATTAAGGTATCTGCAATCCTATGATGCTATGGGAAGGGAGGGAAACAGGTCCGTCACGTAGGAAGTGGTGAAGGAAGTAGTAAAGGCGAACAGTCCGGAGTGTGGGAACTGTTTATGACGATTAGATGAAGATATCTGCAATCATAAAATGCTATGGGAAGGGAGGATAACGGGTCCGCGACGTACGAAGTGATGAAGGAAGTAGTCAATGCAAGCTGTCCGGAGTATAGGAACTGTTTATGACAATTAGATTAAGGTATCTGTAATCATAAAATGCTATGGGAAGGGAGAGAAAAGGTCCGAGACGTATGAAGCGGTGAAGGAATTAGTAAGGTGAGCAGTGTGGAGTGTGGGAACTGGAAACCGTTTGTAGCTGTTAAATTAATGAATCTGCAATGCTGAAATGCTATGAGAAGGGATGGAAGCATCCCCACGACATAGAAAATGGTGAAAGAAGTAGTAAAGGCTAGCAGTGCGGAGTGTGGGGAATGTTTGTGGTAATTAGATTAACGTATCTAAAATACTAAATTGCTATGGAAAGTGATGAAAACAGGTCCACGATGTAGAAAAAGGATTAGAAAGTATTAAATTATGAGCATAGTGTGAAAACCGTCTGTGGCAGTTAGATTGATGTATCTTTAATCCAAAAATGCTATGAGAAGGGAAGGAAACAAGTCTATGACGTAGGAAATGGTGAAGGAAGTGGTAAGGCTTGCAGTGCAGATTGTGGGAACTGTCTTTGGCAATTACATTAATATATCTGCAATCCTAAAATGTTATGGGAAGAGAGGGAAATAGGTCCACGACGTAGGGGGTGGTGAAGGAAGTAGTAAAGGTGAGCGTGTTGAGTGTGGGAATGGATTAATGTATCTGCAAAGCTAAAACGCTATGGGAAGAGACTGTAGACTATAGGTTAAAATAATTTCGAAGCACGAATCGATACATATTTCGATACATGCAATAGTTTATAATAGAAATTTACATCTGAGTTGACAACAGCTGATTTTTACTCCATAGAGAATAAAAACAAATTTTACTCCATAGAGGATAAACACTTTTTTTACTTCCTAAAGAGTAAAATTGCTACTTTAGACCCGCAACGCATGCATTAAAAACGACTGGTATTACTGCAGTATGACCAAAACAATATAATATAAACCCTTGATGACTCCGCTCAATTTTGTGGATGCCTCTGCGAACGCCACCTAGTTCCCTATTTTAACAGAATTAGTTTAATGAGTACTTAGGTTTGCTGCAACAGGGAGGGTAAAAAAGTTTTTTTTAATGTAAAATATTAAAAGGTACTGTGGTTTAGTAAGAAATTAATGTATTTTCCAAATTTGATCAAAATATGCTCATAAACAAGCAAACTACAACAGTTGACTTATTCTCCATAAGAATAACATGGGAATTTTAAAATTACAATTATTTTGAATTTTCTCCGTAACAATTAGGCGCATAATAACGCTTCAATATACTAAATTATTTGTTTTTTTAAGCTCTACAAAATGGTTTAGAAACAAATTGTGAAATTTTGTGTTTTTAGGGTCAAAAATGGGAAAAACCTATTTTTACCCCCCATAAACCCCCGTTCCCATAGTCCGATCATGCTGGTTCACGAACTCATTCAAGTTTATCCCGCCTTACACCTTCAAACCAAATTTTATCAAAATCGGACAAAAATTACTCAAGTTATCGTGCGGATGGACACATATATATATATATATATATATATATATATATTAAAATTAAAACATATATAACAAAGTACCCTTTTAGTAATTATTTTATTTTTCATGACGACATGTTTCGGAACTAAGTCCATTGTCAAGTCATTTTTACCATAACCTCATTCTTTAAACTAACAAAATTAAAAATATAATCATATGTAAAAATAATAAAATATGTTAACTAAATCTTAATACATTTTGGTATTAATTTTTTTCATTATACTATATGAATGTTTTTCTTTCTTTCCTTATTTTTTCAATTTTATCGTAGATAGGTTGGTTTAATTTTGGAATCATTGTGTTGAGTATGTTGTTAAAATTTTTAAAGAATGAGGTTATGGTAAAAATGACTTGACAATGGACTTAGTTCCGAAACATGTCGTCATGAAAAATAAAATAATTACTAAAAGGGTACTTTGTTATATATGTTTTAATTTTATTATATTAGTAGCCCTAAAAATGCAAGAAAATAATATATATATATATATATATATATATCTATATATAGATATATAAAAATTTGAACGAATGGTGTTTTTGGCCTCTGGGGACATCAAAATGAAAAAGTAAATCGGTCCCGGGCTTAGGTCTTACCATGAGACCTACGGTAATAGCTACTTCCCTATAGGGAAATTCGCTAAAAAATAAAATAGTAATCGAGATAATAATATAAATTAACAAAATTGAATGATAAAACTAATAAACTATTCTAAACTAAAGGGGTATTGTAAAAATGTGCAATTAAATAAAAGGCTCTGTCAATTAAGAGTTCACCTATTTTATCTTTAAAATTATTTTCATTTAACAATTTATAGATTGCATGCAGCACATTTTACAGCCTCAGCCCAGCATATAGTGGACTTTTTTCATAAAGGGTCAAATGGTGCCTTGGAAATCTAAAAATGTTTTCATTTCGAGTATTATATCTATGGTTGA